TTTTAATATAATAAATCTCGAATCTAAGAACTTCTAGACTATTCTATATTAATTAATAAAGTATTCTATATATTAATCTTCGAAATAAGTCTAAATAAAGTAGATTCAATAAATATAACTAAATTATGAGTAGAATAATTACCTTTATTCGATAATATAATATCTATCAAATTGCATGATATCTATCATTAGTTTCTTCTGAAAATATTATCCGGTAGATCGTGATTAATTCGTTATATATATATATATTCTATAATATAGAATATTATCTCAAAGAAAATAGTTATTGTTCATTGATCATTCATATGATTAATATTTAAATATTTTTCTTCAATATCATAAAGAAAGAAATTAATAGATAAATATGTGTATATATATTTATATTTCGTATGTATTTATTCAGATTTATTGGATAATTATTTGTTTATTTAAAAGTATTAAATATTGATATTTTATTTTAATTTTGGATATTCATGATATCTAATAGAATCTAATGGGCCTCTCTATCAGAGAACCATATATTTTCTGCACAAGCAGACAAAGATGGCAATGAGGAACCAGAATTCAGAATCTGCCGTGTGTTGTTGAAATAAGCCGGCCCTTGCTCCACCAAAGGGTCCTGCTTGAAACGACACGGCAGGCCCAATGTAAGTTCGCGGATCCAAGCTCCGACTTCAAACGCCGATGGGATGTAGCTGTCTTCTCCCAGGTTGTCAAAACGAAGGAAACACCTCCAATATTGCACTCTTCTGTCAGTCTGGACTACGCTGTCCACCATGCCCGGGGTCATGCCACATCGAAAACTGAATCTAGTTAGCACGTATCACTTATCAGACCTATTACTCCTCCAATTGGCGACTCGTCGTGTTGCGATGATGTCACTTGCATAGCATATTCGAAGCTTCGAGAAGGTGCTCGCCGGCGCAGCTTCTCATCTCAATGCGAGGGTGCCCGCTTGGTTTCGGAAGGCCATCATGTCCTCCCACAAACGATTGAGAAGCGTGCAGACATGCGCGGGCTCCCGGGCCCCCCATCCTTTGCACTCGGGCAGGACTTCAAGCCCTCATTCCATTGCACAGGCCGGCAGACAAACCTGTGCACTGCGCCTTCTTCTTCTGCAAGTAGGCGGAACCTCTGTCTTCGTACGCATCCTGGCATGTTCGGAGGCATCACGATCGCACGGCAAGCAATCGAAGGATGCAAGCACCTCTTGAAGTCTGGCACCCGTAACGTCCAACCGTTTGAACACCACGACACATGCCAGGACGACATCTATCAGCACGAAAGGAGCTGGGCCTTCTGCCTCGGCTCAAACCCGTGAACAGAACCACGCCTTGTACTTAGGGGCTGCCTTGTCGCGTCTGCTCAAACTGAGTGAGGCACAGGGACGGTCAGATAAGAGTAGGTTGGGCTTTGGCTGTGACTACGACGAGATCATATCAGGTTGGGTGGTGTGTAACCGCTGGCTCGCAAAACCTCCTGAAGGCCTGAAGCGACAGGTCGTGGGAGCATGGACGGCATGATGCCCAAGGTTGTCCAATCTTGCTGCTTGATGTTCCGATCTTGGTTGTCTACTTGCATAGGCCAGGGTTACGTTCGTCGTTGTGGTCCAAGTTTGATGCCTGCCGGCACCTCATTGTAGCAATGTCTCGAGAATGGCCAAGCGAGGTCCCGCGTCGCCCCTAGAGAGAGAAGCCGTCTCACCAGGGGGAAGTCGGAGTTTGTCTGAAAATGCCTGGGGCGCCGGCTCGAACATTAATCTTTCCCATGATGCCGTTGAGAGCCTCCTTGGCCTTTTTAAAGCCGGACATTGCCTTCACAGCGAAACGCTCAGAGCCATGTCCCGGCGAGCACGTAGCAGGAGGACTTTTTTGATCTCGCTGAGTCTGGTGTCGGGATGCCGTGAGGACTTGCCCACATGTCGGCACTGTACTTCCAGGACGGGCAGACTCTGGTACGGACTGCTTGTTCCTGAAACCGGAGGGACTTCAACAAAGCTTCCCTCAATTGACAAGCTTCAGCATGTGACCGCGATGCCGCTTCCAACTTAAACTTCGTCCAACAGCCAACTGCCACCAAGCTTCTCGAATGTGTGGAGAAGGCTAGGAAACATAATCCAACAAGGTGGCTTTCGAGCTATTCGTCATGTCTTCGTTTGTTGCAGCTCTCTGGCGCAGCGAACTCCTCGGGCACAACATGTTCCAACTCTGTGGAAAAGTCTTTCGTGCAAGTAGCAAGGCTTGCTGGCCGCAAAACTGGCACATGACACACTCTGTCCGAACCAACAAAATCATGCAAAGGTGTGCCCAAGCTGCCGGTGTGATGGGCGGAACCATCGGCTGTAAGGTGGCTGCGGGCACAGATCCTATAGCGGTAGCCTGCATGTGCAGCAAGCGTTGCTGGCGGAACTCCGTCTATTGCTGTAGGGCGGCAACTCCAATGTCCGAGTGGCAATAGGACTTGTGGCACATGAAAGAGCCGCCTTTCTTGATTTTCTCCTTATCTTCAGATCTTTCGGTTCTCACTGTCTGACAGGAAACAAGGCTGCACTGGCCAGGTGCATCCAGCGGCATATTGTCCGGAAGAGTCCTTTTTCAGATAGCCCATCTCAACTATCTCATCTAGTTCCTCGATTTCCTCAGCTGCGCTGAGGAGTCCCGTGGCCCACAAATCTGAACCCTGTTTCTTCATGCAGGAAAGATGCCGGCCCTCTTGGGTCCACTAAACCTGTATCCTTGTTCTTGTCGGTCAGGAAATGAACAGGGCTGTACCAATCGCCGGTCCACTCCCATACATTGCCCACCATATTGTATAAGCCCCACTCCTAAAATTTGCATTTCTGGCTGCAGATTTGCACAGAAAACCACGACTACACACGCGTAAGTTCTGACCAACACAGTGGCTCCCAGCATGCCGGGATTACACGATTATGGCGCCGAAGTGTTGCATACTAGCTTCGACCGTCGACCGTTGTGTCCGACAGCTTCACACTTGCATGCGCGGAAACGGAAAACTTGTTTGGTGTTGTCTTTTGGGGCGTGTACACGTGGTCCACCGTGCTCCATCTGTCTGAAATGCAAGTGCGCAGCATTCTGCGGACCGTAGGCATCGACCGGTGCAGTCTTCGGGTATCCTTGACGCAGCATGCCCAGGGCACATGGTGGCTGTTGCATTCAGGATCTGAGCCAGCGGCCGTCTTTGGCCGTGTTCTCTTTCGGGAACGTGCCTTGCCAGATGTTCATCCGGTGCCGTCGCGGCATCCCCTCTGTTTCGTTCCCATACCTCGGACTCACGCTGTTACTTTTTGGGTCCAGACTTGACACTTGCATGCTACTTTAGCCGAAGATGCGTTGTGTCGCCCCAAGGGTATAGCTTGCCCTCAAGGCCGCCTCTTGCTGCATATTCCCACTGTGCCTGAAACTGAAATCGAATCGCAACAAATCGCACGCCCGACACTTCAATAGGACAACTACAGCCTATAAGAAACACGAGAGCACAGCAGGTCAGCAAGTCAAACGCAACATGCGGGCTGACAGTACTTACGCAGTTCCCGCTGTCCACATGGGAAAGGCAGACAGACACGCAGACAGCCAGCCAGCCAGCCGGGCAGGCAGGCAGCTTTGCCGGCCAGAGACACAGTAGTCAAGCTCTTGCGAACCCAATCCGTTTCTACATGCCCAATTCAGCATATGCTCTGGATCACCTCCCGGACCAGGTGCAAAGAAACGGTTTACCAAAGCTCAAACAAGTCCATCTTGAAAGGAGCTATGCTGCTCATCGGGGCTTGCTCTGAAACATGAACTCGACGAGGATACATGCCCCGCTCCGGGCAGCAACAACAATCGGATATGCTCTGCTGAGGGCACTGGCCACTAGAGCCAGCCTGGCCTCTGTAGGCAGGGAAGCATTTCTCCATCTACAATATGCCTCCGCATCGTTCCTTCCAATGCGCACCGACCGACACAACAGTAGCAGAAAAGTCGAAGCAGACATCACGTGCTTCAGTGAACCACAACCAAGTCTCCACGAGATATGTACAACAGGGTGGTTCCAGCGATCTCCATATCTGCTGCTCACTCCGCTCAGCGAGCTGTCCTTGATAACAACCGTCGGACAGCCAGCAAAACAGCAACACCCAGCCAAAGCAGAGAGACAAATATACCCGGTGCTTGCCCAGGATCAATGCCCTCCGGCTTGTGCCACGAAGCATTTGGAACGGGCAGCCACCAAGGCACTGCGTCCACTTTTTTGTGTATGGTCTTGTTGACGGCTTCTGAAAGGTAGGTCTCTGCTACAAACGAGTCGCCCAATCGCTCGGCGTCCGTGAGGTAACCCGTTTCTCTTGCAAAATCCTGCCATTTCTCATTGCTCACTTCGAAGCGATCCATCCAGAAGCTGGACATTTGCACTGGCCGCACAGGGCCTTCACCGTCCTACAGGGCGTGGCAGCTGGAATGCACAAGGGCTCTTTACCATGTAAGGCAAAGTGAGGTCTTACCCCTGGCACGCCCGGCCTGTGGGAAGTGAACCCTGTCCTTCCGCTCGCCCATGTGAAAGCGACCCGCAGGAATGCTCACCATGTCTTCGTTGTGCCTTCGACAGGCTGACAAGACTCCATGTGGAATAGTTTATAGGTCCTGGCATCTCTCTTCCGCGCCTCTTCGCCGAGTCTGACAGGCCATCGAACCTGAAATCAGAGTTTGACTTCTTGCAGGTGGTGGGCGCATGCTGCTGTGCACATCTGACGACCATGGCCTCACAGGCTCACTGTGCTCGCCTTTTGTTGAGGCACCACGGCTGAGGGAGCTGCATCCGCAGTCCTGGTGGCAGAGGCGCTCGTGCGGCGACGAGGACTGTCGCATGATATCGGGTGCTGTTTACAAAAGGCCTAGCCAAAGGTCCAAAACACGCCCCACAAGCCACGCGTCCGGCTCCTGGGTGCCATCTGCCACAGTTGCTGCCTGGCACCACCAAACCAGAATCTCCACAGCCCAAGCCAGTGCACTTGTCTGCGCTTTGAATTCACTATGCCTGGGTTGGCTCGTCTTGGTCGTTCTGATTCTGCGCGCACGTCTCCTCTGCGTGAACCAGAAGGCCTGCTATCCACCAGGCCGCCAGAAACGCTGAGATCATGAGCTGAAACGGTCAAGGCTCTCTGTCGGCACCGACGGCGCCTCTGACACAGAGAGCGCCAAGCCAGACGCAGCGCAGCATGGCCAAATTGCGACGGCGCAGTAGCAGCCGAGCAGTCATACAACGTATCTGTGATGCTGGCTTGGGTGCCGGCAGAAGCCTTACACATGTGCATGTACTGCTGTTCAAAGTCAGCACTCATGGCGCCACTGTCCGTGTGCATGCAGCCGCATCCATGGACCTAATGAAGCATTAAAACCTGCAGAGCAGCGCGTTGGAAGAGTTCCGAGGGAGTGCCGAAAGATCCGAAAGGCAGCCTGTGCGCACTGTCTCCCACCTCAGGCCACTTGTTCCCGCCGACGGCATCGCTCATGTCGATACAAGCCTTCCGGATGATCTATACAGCTACTACGGTGGACGCTGGCTCACTCTGCCCCATGTTTGTTACACTCCTTCGAGCTGCTGTATGCTTGGAAACCTGCCTTCTGGAAATCTCTAATGTCGTTTGTCCAGCCATCTTCGTCTGCCTCAACATTGGCACTCGCCAACCTGGGCCATGATTGCCCCACCTAGTAAGTTACCTCCAACGTCATTTTCAACGTCACGTAGCAGGAGCAGACAGAGACTTGAGGTTATCCAGCTTTGGTTGGCTGGCTGTGGCTATGCCGAAAGGCTATCATGCCTGTCGATGCCAAGCTGAACCTCTCTGCATCTGGCCGGTAAGTGCAAATCCTGGACCCTCAAAGGGCGTTTCTGCACAAGGCAGGCTATCCAGAGCCCATCGTGAACAGTCGTCAATACCCGACTATGAAATCGTTGAAGTTTCTTTTAACGAAGGACCAGCATGCATCGGACAGAGTGGAATCAAGCACTGGGTAGAAAGCACCACCAAGAGTTCTCAGCAGATTGAGTTTGCAAACTTCAACGGTGCGTCTAGCTTGGTCCATGCGACCGCAGGTCAGACCACTTCACGATGCACTGTTGTGTGACGAACTATCCCACTCCACGCCTCAAATTCGGAAAGTCTGAGCGCACAGCTGGTTCATTGGGAAAGTAATTTCCGAATCCAGGGGTGACCTCGACTCTAGAGCGGACCCCGCAAGGGGTGATGCTCGCTGGGGGGGTGATGGGATGCTTTGGACTTAAGACTTTATTCAGCTACGGCCGTGCAGCTGATGCGGCCGGAAAGCAGATCTGGCATAAGAACGACAAAGCTTCAAAATCACTTGCTGGGCGGATGTGGGTCTGGAGCGACCTTGGCTCCAAGCACATAGGCGCCTTCCGCCCCAGAACCCAACGCCTTGCGGCACAGGGAAGGGTCCTGGCACTTGTCTGGCAACTTGAATTCTGAGCGGGAAAACATACCACCTTCCCGCGTGCAACGCAGATCTTTTTTTCTGCGAGCTCTCATGTTGGCGTTCGGAGGCGCAGATTGCGAAGCAGTGCCTTTGCTTCGTCCTCACCGGCAAGCAACACAAGCCCCGCTTGCACGACATATGCTCACACATACAACTTCTCCAGATATCCCTTTCCTAACGCTTCACACGAAACCCCTTAGTGCAATTGCACGAACGTCCCCGTGAAGATGCAGAGGCCTTCTCAGAGCCCGTAGTGTCGAGAAGCTGCGTTGCACAGGCCTCTGCCTCTGCCAAACGGCCCTCCTGGAAAAATGGAACGCCTTTGGAAAAGAGCCACTGCTGCATCGAATCCGAGCGGTTTCCTCTGCAAAGAAGTTCATCAGAAAGCGCAGCGCTTCCTCACAACCAAGCAGACACAAGGGGTCTGACTTCTGAGAGAAGTTGCAAGCGGACCAAACGGTGCTTGGCAAGCCACCACACTCTCGCTTGCCAGCCCCCCTTGCAGGGCGCCCGCCAGGGGCCGCCGCACCGAGGCGATGCTCTCCAAGCCAGACGGGTCGGGGCGCACGCCTCTCAGCGAGTGATGAAAAAAAAAGGAAAGCCACAGGACACCTTCCTGTGCGAATGGCACTTTGCGGTCCTGAAGCACTGCTCACTATCCTGGAATGCCCGCTCTGCTCCAGCATCTGGCCGTAGTAGGCGGCAGCTTGCCTACGCGCACATGTGCAAACCCGAAACCCAATACATCGAAAAACAGCTATCGCAAAACGGCGGCAAGTTCTGGCTGTCCGGTACTGAACCGCCACCACCGTGTATCGTGCGTGCCTGTGGTCTCCATGGTCGCGATGCAGTCGTGCGAGGCGGGGTAGGGCCATCCGCTCCATATCTCCACAGCGGTGTGCCTCACATGTCCCCATCGGTGGGCCCTGAAAGAAACGAAATGGTTTGCGGCACGGCGCCTTCTCGTAGCACTTCAGTGCCTCACCGGCGGCCCAGGAGAAAACATGACTCTCCGTCTTGCTGTCAGAAGTAACTGACCAACACAGCATATCCGCCGGCTCTACGGTCATAGTTTCAGCCCTGCCTCCGCCTTTCTGTCCATGTGGTCATAACCTGATCCAGATCTAAATTGTTTCTTGGCTCCCACCTTACCTCCTCCAGGCTTAAGCGGGTCTGAGCAACACTGCGCCATGGCGCACCACATCCGTGCATCATCTGGCCGGAGGGACATCGCTTGTCCTAGGGCACAGGGCATCCACCATCCACTCGACGCAACCCTCACCAGAAGCAAAAGCAAAGCATGACGGCACAAGCGGCGGTAGTAGAAAAGAGCGTAGAAGTGAAGGCCTTGGTGGCAGGTCTCTCTTGCACAAAGTCACGTAACGCGGAGATTTTCCAAGGACCAAGGGGCTCAACAGCTCGTATGTCTGCCCCAACCCATACCTTTGTGCAATCTGCCGCGTTCCACTACATACTGCCATGGAGATCCCCGCGTCACTCGAAAGTATCACTTGCGGCAGCTGGCCAAGCTCTGTAGTCCCGCCGGTTGATTGTCACGGCTGTCCGGTAAGCATCAATGGCCTCGCAGTAAGGGCAGTCCTGTAGAATAGAACCTCAAGCTAGAGAGATAGATGAGGGAACTGGAAATCAACGAGCACACATGTGATTGTGCTCACCTTGTTCCCAGCATGCTGCTCTGCATCTTGATTCTAATAGAATGCCCTAACGGGTAAGCTGAAAGCTCCAAGTTGCGGCGGCAGTGTTCTTCATCTCCATGAACTCATGACCCATCCTGAAGCATCAGCTATTCAAAGCACTGGCCTGTTGAATTCCAAACACCGCCAAAACAGCTTATGCTGATCCGAGTCTTGCACACTGACCGTATGCCTATTCTCTTGCTGCGCAGGGTCAGAATCCAAGCTGGAGTGAAATGGCGATTGAGCGCAAGAGCTCGCCGAAAGTAGATCACGGCCTTCACACTTCTCAGAGTTGGAAAACCCTGGCCCAAAACCTCCAGTGTTAGGGACACTGTCGCTTGGTGAACGGAGGTATGGTGCGGCCTTCTCATGCTCACCCTTCAGGCTGTAATAGTTTCCGATGATAATGCAAGCTTCAGGCGTGTATTTGTCTATCCTTGGCAGAGCCACGTCAACCAGCACTGGCAACTCCACGCCTGAAAAATTGACAGAAGTGTCGGCCTTGAAATCGTGACAAGAGGCTTGACGGCCTGGCGCGCCAGATGGCTCAGTGCTGCTGCCTGCTCCTGAATATTCTGCCATTGCTGCTTGAAGAAAAAAGAGTTTGAACATGTTAGGACAACAAATCCAAAAGCGGCTGTCCTTCACGAACAGGATGTTCGAGTATGTATCTAGAGACCTAGCAGACGAGCGAGCAGCGAGTTCATTGAAGAGGTAAAACCGTCTGCATGCTGCATGCAGTCGGGCAACGAAAGTCGATAGGGATCTCGACGACGGAGCTCTTCGAAAGCCAGCTGCGAGGCATCGAAGTTCCTGGGGGTTACCGAGTCAAGCGCCATCGTCGGTTATAAAGCAAAGTCTGAGAGCTAACTCGGTAATTAAGCCCCGAGTCCGAAGGTTGTAGAAGCAGGTTGCTATCTGCGAGGCGATGTAGGCAGACTCAGGGAAAGAGGCTCGGAGTGCACCATAAAGGTCTTTTGCACTGTCGTTCCTCTGAAGCTCCTCGGCGAAAGGTAGCCGAAACGGCAAGCCATGCCATCAGTTGACATGAGACCCAAAAAAACGGCAGTGCCTTTTTGTTCGTCATGTGGCCAGCTGCAGCGCCGCCTCGAAGAACAAGGACATCCAATGGGGCGGCAGCCTGTTAGCATCAGCTACCAGCCTCAAACTGAAACATTGAAGTCATGGCAGAAGCTACCAGAAATTGCAACATGCACATCTGCAGACGTCCACCTCACATCCTCGCAGCGTCCGTTGACGTCATCTAAGTCCGCAGAGATACCTTGAAATTTATCAGTCTCTCCAATACATCATCACCTCGTACCCCCCAAGACGACAGAGTGGCTGATGATGTCCAACCACGCCGACCAATTGCAGGGAAAAGCATGGACAGACTCCAGAAGAACCTCAACAGTTGGCCGCTGACTGCCCAGCATCACAGTAGTGTACGGAAACCGGTTACATGTAAACTGTGTCCGACCTAGCATAACCCACTGCAAACGGAATGGAAAGCTTCGCGACTCGTCGGGCATCCTCTTTCAGCTCCTGAGTTTGGAAGCCTCTCATCCCGAAACTCGCTCTGCTGAGCTGAAAGCTGTTCGTCAATCTGCGAGCCAAGACACCAAGCCTTTGAGCACGATGCCGTACACATAAAGGCCTCCAGAGCTTGGTGCGTATGGGAAGGCACTGCCGGTCTCCAAAGCTGCGGCATGCTGCCGCGCAGCTCAGACCATCCAGCTTCTGTTGTCGGTAAAGCGCAGAAAGATCTTCTTCCAGCGTCTTCCTCGGCTGGATCCTTGCGTGCGCCTTACTGTCGAAAGGACTGATAAAAGAACGAGCTGCAGCTCGGTGTTGTGGATGCGGCTCGCCTCCGCTGGGTCTGACACCTGCTCACATCAGGGAGATTCGCAGCGCTTGAAACTGCGTAAACAACGCAGTCTTACAGGTCATGCAATCTTTGGCTTCTTTCCAGACTACACCTCATCTTCGCAGTGAGCCAATATCTTGCCCGCAATCCCGTTGTACTACCCCTTTCTCCTTCCACTTCCTCTTCTTGTCAAGTATCTCTGTCACTCTGTGGCCTTTTGCATTGAGAGAGCTTGAATCGGGTCAACACTGGCTTCCAAATCGAGGCGGATTCCCTGGCTTGTGGCTCCGGTTCTTCTTTCGACTGGACCGCCCGCTGGGTCAAGCGAGCTTGACCTGTTGATGCAGCTATCTACAGCGGAAGAGTTTGGCATAATCACATCAGCATTCAGTGCACAGGGCGGAATCTGCCACCGCAGTGCCATGATTTGGCTCAACCACGCTACAGTTCCAGTCTGAAACCACGATCATTTTGCGCACATGCACTCACCCAGTCTTCGTAGGTATTCACGAGTTCGCGGAGGACAGTAAAGCCGGGTTCTATGTGCCAGCTTACTTGCTTGAGATCTGCACACAGCTCTGCTTCGAGCGGTGTGACAAGTTCAGACCAAGTGCCGAATACATCTTGTGTACCCATATGACAGGATTCCGGCACCTCTGCTGCATCTTCCTCTCGCCGTTTTTCCCCCGCCAAGTAGAGGGCATAGGACCTGTCAAGGTGTCTCAGGAAGCCTACTCAGCTACTCGCTTCCTGTCTGCACTCTCGTGCTGCGCACATGTCCCTCGTGCGCCCTGTCGCCACCGACCCCAACTGTTGCCACACTCGAAACAACTTCCAGCCTGAAGAATACTGGCCACGGTGCGGAATGCAGCTCCTGGCTGTGAGCAGGACCTGGGCGCACCAAATGAACCATAGCAATGTGTCTAGAGCTACCCGACTGCAGGGTCTTCGGTTCAATGTGACCCCCTGAGTTTGTCCCGCACAGAAGCACAACATCAGCTCGATAGTCAGAACTTGAAGGTCGACTCTCACCAGAGATCTAAGGCAGGGGACCTCCCTGCAGAACATGGGCAGCCCGCGAGTACTCACGCATGCCGAAGTGGGCCTGGCAGACCCCGAAGCAACTGCAGATGTTACTGCTGATATATGTACATGATACATAGGTGTACATAGATAGTAATGTATTTTATACATACATACATACATATACATATATATATATATATGTGTGTGTGTGTGTGACCTTCTGCCCTGTGTCCTCCCACTGACATCTTTGGTCGAATCCTTGACGGCCGCGAACTGGAACAAAGCTGCTGCATTGGCTGTTGCCAGTCTTGCAAGCCATCGCTGCTGCTGCTAATGTCGTGTAGCAAGAATGCAGGAAGGCAGGATAGGCGCACAAATGAACAACGCGCATCGTTTCTCGACAGCTTCGCAAAGGGAATTCCTCTCTCGAGTTCTGTGGGGCTGTTCAGCGGCCAACAGCTGCACCATCTGTTTTTGAAGTCAGGTGAAGCCTAGACTGCTAGACAGCTAGGTCAAGGGAATAGACATGTCCATGCTGCTCGAGTCTAGGAAGGCCTTGGCAAGGAGCACTGGGCTGCAAAGACTCCGCGACAGTGTCGGCGAGACCGACGGGGCCGAAGCCGGCGAAGCTTCGCCCGCTCCTGGTCTTGCGGAGATTCATGGCGAGTCCTTAACGGCTTAAAGCGTCAGACTCCTCCAGGTGGCAGCGCTGCCAGCAGCTCGGAGGCCCACCTCGCAAACGCGGTCTGACAGTCTAGCCATTCCTCCCCTCTCGTCCCTTTGCTTCGCCTCAGCAGGTGCACAGTCAGCCCTCCAACCCAAATTGAACCGGCGCGAATCGCACCCGGCAGGCTCCGTGCTCTCCTTTATCCTGATCAGCCAAGGCAGCTGAGGCGCTGGGTGCTGCTGTGGAGCTCCGCGAAGCTGAGACGCAGCACAGCCTCACACAGGGCCCGGGCAGATGCCGAAAGAGAAGCCGCAGAGGGCGAGGGAGGAAACTTCGCCTCGTGCAGCTCGGCCCGGAGTTCTGCCGCATCAGGCAGTGTAGGCCGGGCGAGCTTGGCCGAGTCAGGCTCTGCCATTGCAACATCCATGAGCTCTCGGTTTTGCAGCAAGCAGGCTTGTTGCGGCTGTTAAGCTGTCTTCGCAGACTTCTGCCCCGGAAGGGGAGCGGGGCATGTCGGCTTGTTTGTGTCCAGCAATTCAGTCCACACCTGCTTGGGACCGCTGCAAACTAAGATCTGGAAGTCGGGTTCGCGCACTTTCTCTTGTCTCGGCATTGACATCCAGCTGATCGGCCCAAGGCATGAAAAATGCCGGAGGGGAGGGGGTTAGTGGGCTGGTCGATCCCATGTACTGCTTATCATGTTGAGCCCTGGGCTGCAGAAGCCTTCGGGAGCGCCCGCGTGCTTCAATGCCAGATGCAACTTCACGACTGAAGCTGGCTTTAGACTCCTCCTTCTTGAGTGCCGGGAGCAACTCAAAGTAGAACCAGTCGATGCCTCCGAATCAGGCCGGAAGGTGTAGCTCAGAGAATCTCTTGGCACATGCCCCACCTCCTTGGATCTTGGGAGCGGCTCTCTCTAGATCCTTGGCAAATCTCAGTCAGATGCAGGCGGTGCCTTTGCTGATGTAATGTACAGATGCCTTGACCACGGGTGGCGGAAGCGGATTGTCAACTTCGGCGTGCGCAAGCCTTCTCGCCGGGCAGTGTGCGTGAACTCCTCTTCTGCCCTACCCTGGCGCGTGCCCTGGCACGATAAGAGCCGCCACCCAGCTGCGACGTCCAACCTGGAAACAAAGGATCTGGCACAAAGCACATGAACGGTCCTGCTGTCTCTGCAGGCTTCGAAATCTGCCTGCTGCCGTGAAGGAACAGGCACGGACCTCGATGGTTCCGGCGACTGCAACCAATCAAGTTTTTGCTAGTGCTGCCCAGCCACAAGAAGCTCCTGCTAACCTCTTGCGCCTCAGCTACATCGACACTCTCGCGTTGGAGGCGGAACTAGCCTGCCCGAAGACATCCGAAATCGAATTGCACCCAAGATTGAACCGCCGCGGTGAGTCGTTGCTTTGCACTTGTGTAGAGAATCTGTGAAATGGTTGTGTCCTGATTGTACCAACGGTCCCTTTCCGTTGTTAGAGCACGAAGAAGGGCGGTTTCCTGCAAGTTTATTCAGCAAGCCCTGCACATGCCGCGGTCCAGCTACATCAAATTCGGTTCCAGTCAGCCTATCTAACATGAACAGAATTCCATGACTTCGCCGAGATGCAGCCGTCGCGGCGGCCAAGCCCCATACCAATGCTCCTCAGCTTGCTAGCTGCAAGCTTCAGTCGGTGCCACTCATGTGTCTCGAAACATGAGATACTCCTACAGTCACGAAAGCGCGTGCCTGCTGTGCAAGCTGTGGCGAGCCTTGGCAGGGTCGGTGGCCGCACAATGCTGCGAAAATTGTGGACACAGCCGGCGCGGGACCGAACGGACAAGAGGTGCGCTATGCTTCCCTTGCGAAGCCCTTTTTGGCAAGCTCTTGCGCGAGCCAAAACAGGGGCAGCACTCCTTCGTGCTACAGTGACAGTTGCTAAAGGTGCGCAACATGAGCGGTTCAACAAGAAAGTCGGCATGAGATCTTCCGAGCCGGGAACCACGGAGGACGGCAAAGCTCGCCCTTCACAACACCATTCTAGTGAATCTGGATCGTTCGCTCGAGAACAACAGAGCCAGTCGACTCCACGATTCGTCGGGTCGTGGTCTGCTTTACATGCCGACGCGCCATCAAGGAAACCTCCAAGCAACCAGCTAGCAGCCAGATGCTGATGGAGAGTTCGCTCGAAGGCTTTATTCTTGCGTTTCGGATGGCTGTCGTCTTCCACTGGAATTACATGACCATCTTGTCTTGAACTGGCCTTACACATCGGCGCTTGGAAACTGACTCTGTAGATGACGCGAGCGAAACAGAGCTGAACTCGGCGTCTGCTCTGCAAGTGCTTTGCACATGCCAGCGACGCGACCTACTATCTGCATCTATCTGCACACTTCTGGAGGCTCCGGAACAACCGGACAACCGGCCACAGGCACTGCAAGACCATGACAACGAAGCTACAGAGTGTCAAGATGGGCTCGTCCTCGAAACCATACTTTGCGACCAGACTTTGGCAAGCGAGGCGTCGCGATACGTAACTACAGACCCCGCACTGCAAGAAAATCCGAGGCCGTTGCTGCAGTGATTGTGCCAAAATACGTGGCAACGAGTTGCGGCTTCGAATGCGTAATGCTGCTCGACCCTGTACTGCACAGGAAATCAAGCTGGTCAACCGGCTGACCTGACAGCACAACTACCTTTCGAGGAAACGGCGCCTATGATTTGATTGTGACATTTCAAAGCTGGATCGGAACAGGAGCGCAACCTATCAGACTACACATGCTGATCCCTTACAGCATCAAAGGCTTCAATATGGCAACCAAAGTCACATGGAAAGCAACCCCACAAGCATTCTCTTTGGCCGATCTGTTGTGCTTCTTCTGTTCAGGCGTGGTCGTCGTGGAAGCCGTACCCAAACAAGTTCCGAAAAGCGTTGAGGCCCAGCAGGTTGCCTTCGGACAGACATCGAATGTTTGCAACGACCCTCGCCTATGGAAAGCGCTTGCCACAGAGGCTGGGAATCTCCGAAGCTCTCAAGCACAGGTTGCGCCATCAAACTGCCACTGCGTTACTCAGCGCCGACTTCAGGACGGTCTTGAGTAAAAGGACCTTGAGAAGCAGCTATCAACAGATACGCGTTCGGTGCACAGCATAGCTCTCACATGATCACCAAGTTACTATCAGGAATTCCGGGCCAACCGGTCCCACCTGCGCGAGCATCACAAGAAGGCCAGCTCTCAGGTCGCATGTTCCCAACACGAACCTCCTCGGAGAAGTCCTCATACCGCAGATCAGCCGTGGTAATGTTGGCCTCGCAGGGAGCCAGGAGCCAGCTTCCATGCTTTTCTTTATTGCGCCCTCGCGCATTGGCGGGCTCGAGACATCTGTGAGAGGCCGGCCATGGCCGCAACGAGCCCCTGCAGCCGTACGGCAATGTCCTGATATATGCACGGAAGCCCTGATGTACAGAACGCCAGACTGGGTGTTCGGTGACCTCAGGCAACACCCAACACTGCCAACAGGCAAAGGTTTTTCCGGAGCGTCTCGCGAGCAGGCCCTGCTGTCCACGACTGCTTGAAATGTCGGGGATGTAACGACATGGCACCGTCCTCAACCACGACGCGTCGAAACGTCAGCTTTGGTGGATTGTCCCTTGGCTGAACACAGACGCTTCGCAAATGGCTCCGGCCATATAAAAAATTAAACCGAACAGCATAGTTCCAGCACCCCAAGGGGTTCGACTGACAGAACCCCGTGTGCAGAAGCTTCCCTCACAGCAGGGTACTCTCAGCTGCCCGATGCTGTGAAGTTTCTTTTCAGGCTTGAGATTGTCCTTGACCTCCGCAATCTTGTTCAGAACATCATTGACATTCCTAGCGGTGTAGATGGTGCTTCAAGATGTACCCCCAAATATCCTTAAGTTCCAAACCAATTCAGCAGACGCGCACGGCAAGCATGTTGAGACCCAACCGCTAGTTAAGTTCAAAAGAGAGGTAGGCATCATTTACCGATTTGCGACAGCAGACAGTTGCTGTCAACTGCATGCGTTGCTTGACACTGGCCAGGTCATGATCCCAGTTCTTGCTGGGCTCTCTTGTGTCCTCATCCCGAACGCTGTGCTAAACCAACTTGCAAGTTATCTATATGACAAAGGCACCACGAGCTAACCCGCCATGTGCGTGTACGTATGTACATATGTACATATACAGATATACGTAGGTACTTACATATTCAGATACACGCACATACACAAAGAAAAGTGCGAATATATGGACACATGTTTTATACACATACACATGCACATGTGCATGTCTATCTTCCTACTGAAAGCAAATTCTATACCTGCATCTCAAAATCTATGTCTATGCCTTCATGCTGCCACCTAAGTAGATGCCTAGGTCTATGTCTATATATATATATATATATCCATACCTAAGTAAACCTATGTCTGTTCGTCTGTATGCTTTTTTTGGTGAGCGTGCTGGCATGCGTGTTCTGTTGCACATCTGCTACACGGCCGAATCGGCCACGATTCGGCCGCGAACTGCGGCCACGGCACGAGGAATCAAATGTCTTCTCGTACATGAGCTCCACACCTCGGCCAGGAAAGGGCCGGTAAACAATATAGTTGGGCACGCAAAGGGCCAAGCAAGACAGCCAGGCAGCCAAGTTTCCTTCCGGATTCATCTACCCGAAAGTTTACCACGGTCAGCTGTGCAACGCAAGCAGGTCGAGTTGTCGAACCGTTGTGCATGCGGCTGCTGTGGACGAACGGCACTCGAACAAGCTTGGCGAAATGATAATCGGAAAGGTGTTCAGGTTGTACGAAAGATTAGGATAATCAAGCTCGACGCGCGGTGTGTGCTGGCTCCAAGCTCCCATCAGCCAAGGGTCCAGAGATGTTCAGCTCCTGCACCGTGAGGTGTCGGAACTTGGACTTCGCGAAGTCGCGGAAGAGAACGTGACATCGAATCCCTGGGCCAGCGGGCACAAGTTATGCTTTGGGAAGTAGCATAAGACTTGCACAAACAAGGGTGCATACCTCACCGGGCTCCATACCACATCTCCATCAAAACAATATGTCATAAGCCAAGGTTCGCTTCGCAGTCAGCAGATAAGGAGATCGCCACTCGCGGTTCTGAGGGTTCTTCAGCTCGAGGCCGTCTATGCAGATGATTCCTTCATGGATATCCACCTGGCAATTGCATCAAACGAACCAGCAAAGGAAATGAACGCATGATCGGGTTCGCGTGCGACTGGTGCTGCCTCTTAAGACACTCAGCAAATTGCTTCCGCGGAGCATACACTGAATCCACTCGCGACTCCATTTTCAGTACCTTACTGTCAGCCGAAAGAACAAATACCAGCAAACAGACAACTCCAAGAGCTAGAGTGCCGATAAGGCGCCAGATCACTCAGAGCTTTCAATCCACTCGCGACCCTAGAGCCCATGATGGCCTGGTTTGGGTGCGGCAGATCGAAATCAACCCAGTAAGCAACCATGCAGGCTTCAGAGAACAAGACATGCGCATGATGCACGTACTCAGTGGCTTGGCGCAGTGCTGCTGTGATTCTGCCTGCCTTGGCAGAGAGAACGAAAATGGGCACAGCCACAATCACGGCCTTGGTATCGGAATCGATGCAAATTGAGATGCAACTGCCGCATCACGACTCGGACAAATCAGCAGGAAGACAAGAGGGAGCAACCAATGCGAGTATGCAAAAATCTGCAGCAAGGGCACCGTGCAGCACAGAAGTACGCGCAGAAGAGTTGGTCGCACCGCATCATTGTCACTGGTGAAGTAGACCTAACGGTAACTGGAGGACAGCAGCATGCGCGCCCTGGCGACCCCTGTACTCGGAAGCTGTGGCACCGACGATCCACAAGGCGACATAGAGCAGCAGCGGCACAGCCATGCCAATCGGAGCTGCGAAGCGACTCAAGTCGCAGCAGGCCTCCCAAAAGAATCTTAACAAGGTGAGCAATGTACGATCCTTGTTTGTCGAGCAGCGCAAGCCAACCCCAGCCTCATCCTCGTCTGCTAGAGGCAAGACGGAGCCCTTGCTGCAGAGAGCTTCTTTAACCATGTTCCCAACACGAAACTAGCAACTCCGTGACCATCCATGACGTGCAGCTGCACTTCGAGCACTGACTGATCAGTCGGGATGCACTCACTGGTGACGAACAAGCCTTGGACGGCAAATCAGAGCGTCTGTAAACTTTTGGCAAGGGATTGCACTGCATGAGTTGCGGCAAGGTCCAGAGACACGAGCGCATAAGAGCCCGGGGCGACAGCTTGCAAACGCTTTTGTTTTCAGCGTACAGGCTGCAAACAACAGTCTCAATGCAGCTGGAGCACTAGCCGCGCACCTCCCTGTGATGGGATGGACCGAGGCGTCCTCACCACCGTCATTTTCATGCTGTCCTGTATTTCCCCTATGAGAAATCCAGCACATCGCAAACAAAGACGATCTTCCGGTGCAGAGGTGGAGTCTGGTAAAGACACTGACGAGTGTGCTTGCCGCCTGCCTGGGTGAACGTGGCGACAAATCCTCATCCTGGCTGCTCAGCTGCAATGTCGCAGCCCTTAGCTGCGTCTTGAATGGGGCTGGATTTGACCAGGCGTGTTCTGGTGCGGTCTGGTTGCCGGAGCGGCAAGGGCGAGTAGGTTTGTGCCTCGGGAGCACGTCTGGAAGCCCAGTTTTCCATCTTCCCTACTTGCACGACACAACGTTCAACAAATCCTAAAGAGACAACACAAGGCATGCGACATCTTTGATGTCTGGCCGGGGCAGTAACAATGCAGTAACACTAATCGCAGCACAGAGGAAACAGCAACAACGCATATTTAGTTTCATGTGCTGCCGGTGCTGCTGGTGCTGCTCGTGCTGCTAGTGCAGCTGCACCCTGGGATTGTCGCTACACTGCTAAATGACTCGAGCTTTGGGAGGTTTGCGAGACAGAGAGCCCACCAGCGTCAAGCAAACGTCGAATTCAGCACGCTTGCCAGCATCCTGGCCCTTTATGGGGAGCTGCTTCAATTCATGAAGGATTGGAGGCGAGGTATCCTTGTCCATTGGGGACCTTGCAAATGCGAGAAATCCCATTGCTGCCAACCTCGTTTTAAGAAAGCCCCGCTTAGTTGCAAAATCCAATTCCCAGAACGTAGTTAGTTTCAAAACTCCCCCCCCACCCCCCGCGTATGTGCAGAATCCAGCGGCCAGAACGGGAAAAATCTTGCTTAGATGACAGCTCAATTGAGCTGAAAGAAGCCCCCGCTGGCCCAACGAACCCAGATTCGAACTCTACTAGCTTGGCTCCGGACTCTTATTACAGAGGCAGAAACATAACAAAACATCTTTTTGGATGTGTGCTGATGCTGCTGGCATACTGGAGCGGTTGGTGCTCGTGCTGCCCCGCTGATCCCCTAGTACTCCTTCTCGTCCTGCTGCGGATCTACAATTACTGGTGCGGGTGCTCGTCACCCTCGTCGCCGTCTCACTCGCCGAAGAAGAAGAGACCGCGACTTCAAAAGTGAACTTTAGTATGGCCACAAACGACACGGCAGAGACTTGCCAAACAAAGCTTAGCTGCCTGACTGCCCCACGCGAAAGCAGCGCCTCCCTGCGACTGCATAGCTCCATGGGATGCATGGGCACACAGCAGGCCTAGCAACGTCTTCTTGAGTTGATCGACTATTGCCTCCATGTCATGATTACAACATGGAGCTTGATATCTTGATGTGGCATCGTCATGTTGCGAACTAGTCATTGTCATCTCTCAGCTTCCAGATGGGCAATACAAGCCATGCAAAGCCACTCAAGCACTGAGCACCTGCTCGACAAGCTCTGCAGAAGGTGCCACTCACCGGGACATCATCCGGGGGCGTGTCACGCGCGGCCGCGCATTGCGACCCACAGCACCTGTTTAGCGAATTCTGGCTATGCTCCGTTTGGATTCTACAGACAAACACGTGTGACAAGAATTCCCACTTGTCACAGCTTAGCAAGTAACTGCGTGATCTCTATGAAAGCACTCATTTTCGAGGTGGCCGCTGGCATTGCTGTTCACTGGCTTGTTGGATAGAACCTACTTGTGTTTGCTTACGTGTTGCATGATGCCGAGCTCCCGCGCACCTGTACCATGTTTCTGGCTTGCTAGAATGTCTACTCGTTTCGAGGAAACATGTTAGGCATTTTAACTTCTTTCACGAGTTTCGCGCCCAGTCTACGCAAGGTCGGCTTAGCAAAGTGGTCAGAAAAAAAGCTCCTAAAGCAATTCCACCGATAATGCAACAAGGCGGCTGCCAGCTCAGGGTGTCTGACTCCTACTTCAGTTTGCACCAGCCCGACTAACAGCAAAGCTACCAGCTACCTGTATTGAAGCGAGGAATCACAGTCGATCGCGAAACGAAGCCGAAGCAACAAATGCACACTCGACCTCTCCACCAAATCAATAGTAAACGGGTGACACTGAGTTTTTCCACTTGATGGATCCTACTCTGGCTTGCTGTTTCCTGAGGCTTGGATTCTGCGGTGCTTCTGCATTGTGCGGGAGCTCTTTAATGGACACAACCATAACCGACAAAATAGCAACAAGTCACAAAGGCGGCAACGCTGCATGCATGACCCGCGAGGACCACGGGCGCAGCAACAAAGTGGAAACAGATGCGACAGTCCACAGGGCCCCCCAAACCCGTGACGCACCAGGATGCCGGCCTGTTGTCTTCATGGCTCCTCGACTCGATCCCAAAGGAGCATCTACGAGAGGGCCGCGACTCGACATTGAGCCGGTGGCAACCCGTTGCAACTTCTGGATTTTGCGAGCGAAGGTTCAGCAAAGCCAGAGGTGCCTGTACGCTGCAGGCTTTCCGAAGGCAACATCGGTCAATGAGGACACTGCGATGCACCACAAACTTTTTGTCGGCTTCTTTGTCCGATGTTTGCATGTCTGTCAGCGAATCGTGCAGCAAGAGACTCTCTGCCAATGGAGCGCCACCTCCGCCTACACAGAGATACACGAGCCCGCGCTAGGCCCATATCAGCGCAGGAGCTGCAGCAGGAAGAAGTCGATGCCTCAGATTGGAAACATTTTCTTGCTGCACATACTCTTGTAAGCACGGGAGAGGCAGGCACAAAGGATGAACTGCAAGGGTGAAGCAAGACTGGCATGACTGAAGAGTGCGGGTTTGAATGCTTTTTCGTGCCTTGGCTTCTGTACAGCTGATGTGGCCGCAGCAGACAGCAGCGAATTCAAGGCCTCGGGATACACGCGAAACGCAACAAGTAACGGCCCGTGGGCTTGTGCGCCTAGTTAAAGGCGAAGTCATAGAACCGATTGCAGGCACAGCGTCCCAGCGAAGATGCCCACGAAATAAAGAGGCCAAAGTGTATTCCAGCAAGCAGCCGGCCCCCCTGCGGCAAGAGACCCTCCAAGACATTTTACGGAGCTGGGACTGGCTGCGACCCACCTGTCCAAGCGCTGCTTCAAGCTAACCAAGGAGTCCTGGCTGGAAGAGATGTTTTCAGGGCCTTTCTGTTTCGGATGTGACTAGCTGAGCTCCTTGTGGCGGGAATGGGGAGCTTGAGGGAGTTTACTTGCCTAAGATACGTCCGACTGACCCGCTGGCTACAGACAAGCATAACTTCCAGGCGACTGCCCCGAAGCAGCGGTGCGCAAAGTCGGCCTGGCCAAGGCACGTTGCACAGGCCCAAAAAAACTCCAAGAAAGGCGTGCAGCGGCAAGTTCGCCAAGGTGCATGCCACGCCAGTCGAACCTTCGACACGTGTCAGCTGGGTCGTGCCTTCAGTCTTCCCCTCTGACTGGAACGGCCTTGAGCCTCATCAAGCGGTCGGCACGGTTTGCCAAAGCCGCCTCGTCCTTGGCCCAAGCATTGACAAGTCGCGCAAGCTGGGTGCCCGGTGTCTTGCATCGAGCCCGCAACCTCCACACCGTCCCCTTCCAGCATCCTGACAAGCAAAAGCAGATCTCAGCTTCCTGTCTCTTCGAAAGGGCTAGCTGACGAGCAACCCTCAATTGCTACTTCATAGCCTGAGCTCCCCAGTCGGTGGTGGACAGGCCGCACGTGTAGGATCGGGCTTTCTGTATTCGGAGACCTCCGACCTAGAAGCGGAAGACAAGGAAGCCAGGCAAAGTGATGTCGGGCTGCCGAGATCGCAAGCATCGGCTTTGGAATGCCATGTACTTGAATGCTGTCCAGCAACGGTCTCAGACATGCCGATGCAAGCTGCTGGACAGCTCGTAGCACTTGCTTCTGAACCAGCTTGCCGATTGATCTCTCGACAAAGCAGGCGCCTTGGCGCTGAGACGCAGCTCTCGGAGCCCTCCCTGCGTCGACCACGACTTGGCCCCTTTCCGCAAAGCTGTGAGGCGCGGAACGGCGGAGTTTTCAGCCATGCCTTCAACAAAAGTAAGGGGCATCAGCCAAGGCAGCGGCACTTCGAGCAGAGCACAACCAACGGCGAAATGACACACACGGACACGCAGTAGGCGAGGACCCCAGCCCCAAGACGGTATCAGAATAGGCCATAGGCAAAACTACACCGATCACGAGCCTTCCACGAAGTCCAGCAGCTAAGCAACCTCCCCAGTCACGGCTCTGCATTGTTGGTTGCCCTTTTCATATTGAAGTAATTTAATCTTGCCAGAACACACGAAATCGGAACTTGTCGTGCAAAGCCTGATGCCTACTTCCGGCTGCTAGCTTCTACTGCACCATGCCACAAAAGATAGCATGAAGTCTTGTTCAATGTCGCGTCTTCTTTCCAAGGCCTGCGGTGGAGCCACGTTCTGCTTGCCTTGAGCTCCAAAGACTCTTGGCGCGCCTTGGCGCGAGACTTCGCATGACTCGTTTTGAATGCCCCGAAACTTGTCATGAAGCATCCCGCGTAATTTGTAATCGACACACGCGATCGGGACAACCGAGGACGACAACGGCACAAAAGGGCAACAACATCTCTTCTCTGCACAACGTACCGTGTCTTCTGCTCTTTCTGGCGGCAAGTCACCTGGCGATGCCATCGATGCAGCTGTCGCCTCAGTGCGGACCTTGATGCCCCCGTTGTTGTGGCAGCGAGGGTAGCAAGTGCACGGAACCTTCAGCCAAATGACATCCATACCACAAACATAATAAGCAGACAAGTAGATGCGATGCATTATGCAATATTATGCGAGCACACGCCACACGCCAGGCCTTGCATGCTCCACTGCAATCTCAGCGGCTGCCGCCAGCTCTGCCGAAAGGGCTCTGTCCTACTCTTTGACACATCGAAACAATGCCATACAATGCCCCGTGATGCAGCGAGCTGATGACAGCTTGCAAAGAATACACTCCAGGCCTCCCCCACCCAGGATCGCCACTCGTCCTGCTCGCATCCAGCACAACCAGAACCCAGAAAGTGCCTGAAAGACTATCTTGGCACATGAGGCTAGGCGTGGCCTCAAGCCTCTGGCGCTCCCGGGACAAAGCTCGAACAATGACCTGGCGGAACCAACGATCACAGTCCGCTTCTTCACGGTTACGGACATGAAAGCCAGGCCACTGGAAGGGTTCGCCAACGCTCCCAGGCGGAGGCTCTCTGGCGCGCTGCTGCAGACTGCAGGACCTCTCGGGTGCCCTTGCAGAATTGCTTCTGCAGTGCAAGAGACAAGCATGTCACCCAATGCTTAGGGACGATCAGCAATGCAAACTGCTGCAACTGCGAAACACGCGGACGTGCTTCTGCGTATGTCCGGCACCTTTGCCAACTGTCGCGCTAGCTGCGCCGCGACATCGCCTCCGTTGGCCGGTAGCAGCTGCCTGTAGCTTGCCTTTCACCAGCCACGGCGAACACTCAGTCAACTTCCTGTTGGCGAGGTGAAGTATGATTTCTGCGACAAGCGGTCGAACTGTGTCAAAAGCCTCGGCCCCATCCGGAGTTGTGGTGCTCCCCCAACTCCCGCACTCTCCACGCTGAGCGGCTTCAACTTGGCCAGCGAGGCTTGTAACCGGGGTCTTGCTCCCGCGGCCAACCTGAAACAAGACTTTGTCTACATGGTTGATGCTTTGCCATGCCGCATTCCTGAAACCTGCGCAAATCTCACCCGCAATGCTTCACTCCACGACGTATCGTGTTCGAGCCTCAACCCATGTCCATCCTGCCTTCTTCACAGAGGCTCTCATGGCTGACAGTGCTGCAGTGAGGCCTGGCTCCTGCGTATTGGATCTGCCAAAACATCTTGACCGGCACTTCTGAAAATAAACCTGGTTGTCACCAAGAATCCGCCAACCACATACATTGACCGTTCAGCTATTGGACTCTGGCTTTTCGAAGGTGGGGAGAGGGGAAGGGAAGGAGAGGCAGGGAGCAGGAAGTAAGGGATGGGGCCAGGCAAACATTGAACCACCAATGGGGCCACCATACCTTCCCTCCAGCTGCCGCATTCCCGTCCAGGACCCTAAGAGCTCCATACCAACATACGAGTACCTGGATACGCCTGCTGCCAGAGTTCCCACTCGCTCTGCCACACACCTGCGACAAAGACACCCTCGCGTGCAGTTTTGATATGCCTATGACTTTAAAGGAGTTCGTCCAGTGAATTAGTCGTGTGCCTGCGGCATTCCAGGGCTCGGGCGGCACTCGTGCTGCGCAGCGACAAACTCCCTGACCCCCCGACCCTCACGGCCGTAAGCCGTAAACGAAAATCTTCCGCTGCGCGCTCGGAGCAAAAATCCAGAACGGCCCCACACGACATACAACAGATGCACAAAGTCACGAGATCATGTAGCAGCAAAACGGAAGACCTGGCTGTGGCCCACATGCTTTGGAAGTCGCATCTGCAAAAATCTTGCAACAACAGAAACAGCTGAAGCAATCTTCGAATTTTGAGACGGACATACATGTGATCCGGGCACGCTGCGATATGAAGCACACGCCGGCCACAGCGCATACAAAGCCGTCCTCGCCAGAAGACTGCCGTCGCGGGCGTGGTGTGGATGCCTAGCACCGGAGCCCATCACAGAATTCCGGTTCATTGGATGCACATGCTGCATCATGCTCGTACAGATGCTCATGCCTGCAAACATGATGGCCATTGATGGCACGTTGCATGACGATTAACACCAAGGGGTATTACTAATTACCGGCTCAACCAACCGTCGTTGAACTGGCAACTGACACAAAGCACGCTATGCTTAGTTCTTCCTTGCCTCACCCATTCCCATGACTGCCAGCTGCCATTTGCGAACGGCAGCACCCTGTGCTTTGGAAACCGGTGCCCGCAGGATCTTGGTCACCATGAAGATTGCTAGTAAGCACTTGAAGAAGCTTGCTGCCACCACGATTCCGAGTACGCGGCCATGCCCAACAATCTAGCAGCCGCGCGCTGCTCCCGTTTGGACGCAATTCCTCAGAAGCGAGCTTTTCACATACACCCAACACATGCATACAAGCACCACGCCAGGCGAGCGTCGAGAGGCTTCGCATATGGAAGGGGCATCTGCAGCAAACAGCTGCCAAAGCCCGAAATTCGCAGCCTTCAAAAGCTGGACACATGCCAATTGTGTAGCAATGCTTCGCAACAAAGCGTGGTCAGGAAATGCTCAGGCAGACCCATCGCACACTTCGTGGCTGATGATATTGGTCAGGCTGGCTCTGACCGCACACATGCTTCGTGAAGGCACGGTGCATCGATGATACAGCAACCTTTTCCTTTCGCTTTGCCGATTGCTACCTAGGTCATATGGGTTGTTGCTATTCATCCTCCCAAGCGATTGACTCATGAGTATTCCACCTCGTATTTTTTCTCACAAGTTCAGATCCAAGGAACATGTTTTGCCACCCATTAGGGAACACTTGCCGGCTCAACTATCCGTTCGTCGTTGTTTGTGTCTGTTTCCGTACCAGCAGCATGCGAGGACACCGCAGCCAACCAGCCAAGGAACTGGAATGGACATGCGCAGGGTCTCCTGTCTCGAACAAATTTTCATGCGAACAGAATCAATACAAGCCCGCAACGTGTAATGTTGGAATCGCATCAGACGAACATGCACACAGGTCCTTCCACCGCTTCCAAGCCATGGCCAAAAGGAATGTGTTTCGAATTTGCTGTCGGAGGTGACCTGAGCGTCTGACATCATCCGAATGGCCTTCGAATTCAAAGGCTAGATTCCCAAAGCATGCGGGCACACATGCTGATCCTTTATGTGGCACCACCAACTCTCCAGCAAAAGCTCAACGCCAAACAAGCCAATCGAAACTCGCTGCACAAGCACACATCCATAATTTCATCTTATGTTGCCAGGTAGATGCGAAACAAGAGCAAGCAAACACTAGTAGCGGCGATTTTGCAAACAGGTTTCATCGTCAAGAGTTCCTCAGATGATGTGTTGCTTGGTTCCACCAGCCACCGACCGACAATGCTGTGTATGATCGCGAAACTTGGCGAGCGCGGCGTCACTGCGTGGTGCAAGCGGCTGAGCGATTGAGCTGCTGACACTGCCCCGATGCGCTCCGATAAAAATGTCTCCCCATCCAACACCAGCGTTGCTTCAGAAGGCGGCAGTCTTCTGGTAATATGAAGTGTTTCAACTCGACAGATAAGTTTTGCCTATGGAAGGCGTTGGCAGCCGTTGTTGGCGCTTGCGCTTCGCGGTCAACGAAAAACTCACGAGCAGCACCGGCCAACACCAGCTTTGCTGCAGAAGGCTACAGTCCGTGCAATGTGTCAGCCCCACCCACCCGTCCCAGCACAAGGCAACATTGCATTTGTTTTCCGACCGCGGGTAGCTGTCGTTGCGCCTAGGGCGGTGACTACTTGTGCGACAAGTCGACACCTCGTGGTGCTCGGCAGCCGGACAGCGACGAGAAGGCATTTCTACAGGCCAGCCAGAACAGCATTCAACTCACGCCAGCAGCTGCGCGCCGAGCGCGGCTCAAGCTGGGTTGTGTCGCTTGCAGCGCGGCAATGACAATAGGCAGGCAAGTAAGTGGGTAAGTATGTCGGTACGTAGGTACGTAAGTAAATAAGTAAGTAAGTAGCTAAGTAGCCAAGTGAGTAGGCAAGTAGCTAAGGTAGGGAAGCAGGTAGGTAAGTAAACAAGTAAGTAAGTAGGTAAGTAGGTAGGCAGGCAGGACGGAGGTAGGCAGGCCGGGAGGGAGGTAGGTAGGTAGGTAGGTAGGTAGGTAGGTAGGCAGGTAGGTAGGTAGGTAGGTAGGTAGGTTAGTTAGGTAGGTAGGTAGGTAGGTAGGTAGGTAGGTAGGTAGGCCGGTAAGTAAGTGAGTCGGTAGATAAATAAACAAGCAAGTAAATAGGTAAGTAAGTTTTTTAAAGTAAGTAAGCAAGCAAGTAGGTAAGTAAGTAATTGCGTCGGTAAATAAGCAAGCAAGAAAGCAAGTAAGGTAAAGTAAAGTAAGGTAAGGTAAGGTGCGATAAAGCAAGGTAAAGAAGTAAGTAAGTAAGCACCTGAAGAAGTAAGTAAGTAAGTAGGTAAGTAAGTAAGTAAGTAAGTAAGTAAGTAAGTAAGAAAGTAGGTAGGTAAGTCAGTAAGTAAGTCAGTAAGTAAGTGAGTAGGTAAATAAACAAGTAAGTAAGTAAGTAAGTAAGTAAGTAAGTCAGTACGTCAGTAAGTAAGTAAGAAAGCAAGCAAGCAAGCAAGTAAGTATAGGTAAATGAGTAAGTAAATGAATAAATAAATGAATACATAAATGAGTAAGTAAACGAGTAAGTAAGTGAGTGAGTGTGTAAGTAAGTGAGTAAGTGAGTAAGGAAGTGAGTAAGTGGATAAGTAGAGTAAGTAAAGTAAGTAAGTAAGTAAGTAAGTAAGTAAGTAAGTAAGTAAGTAAGTAAGTAGGTAAGTAAGTGAGTAAGTAAGTAAGTAAGCGAATGGGTAAGTAAGTAAGTCAGTGTTTCTAAGTGAACAAGTAATTAAGTAAGTAAATAAATAAAGAAATAAATAAGAGGTAGGCGCTATACCTCGATAAACTTGTAAATGGTTTCGGCATTGAAAGTAAGAGTCGATACGCTTGTTTCTTTCGTCCTTGTTTACATCCAAAGGCTGCTGCGTCTATCAAGCCAAATCTGGCGTCTTCTTCAAGGTTGCTCAGTTCTCAAATTCTGTGGCCGAGAGAATCCTGACGCATGCAGAGCTTCACGAATTGATTCTGCACTTGTAAGAATCGTGTACTTCGCCCTAAGGGGCGATGCGCAAGAACATGTGAAGGCTTGCTATGCAGTAAAAGCTCAAAACGCAGGGGTCAACCTACGGCGCAGAACCCTATTCAATAAATACGTAAATAAGTGAATAGATAAGCAAGTAACTTATAAGTATGCAACTTATATGTAAGTAACTCATAAATAAGTAATTTGGACATGAACTTTCTATATGTACATAACATATAAGCAAAAACTTATAAATAAAAAACTCATACGTAAATAACTTGTATGTTTTCAACTTATGGGTAAGTAATTTAAATAAGTAAACAAGTAAGTAAGTGAGTATGTATGTAGAGAAGTAAATAGAAAAGTAAAAACGTAAGTAAAGAAGTAAGTAAATAAGTAAGTAGGTAGGGAAGTAAGTAAGTAAATAAGTAAGCAAGTAAGTAAGTATGGGTAAGTACAAGTAAGTAAATCAGTAAGTAACTGAATCAGTAAGTAAGTAAGTAAGTACGTAGATAAGTAAGTAGATAAGTAAGTAAGTAAGTAAGTAAGTAAGTAAGTATAAATAAGGGAGTAAGTAAGTAAGTAAGTGAGTGACTGAGTAAGTAAGTGAGTAAGGAAGTAAATAAGCAAGTAAGTGACTAGGTAAGTAAGTAAATAAGTAAGTAAGTAAGTAAGTAAGCAAGCAGCTAAGTAAGTTAACAAATAAGCAAACATGTGAGAAAGTACGTAGGTAGGTAGGTGCGTAAGTAAGTAAGTCGGTAGGTAAGTAAATAAGTAAGTAAGTAAGTAAGTAAGTAAGTAAGTAAGTCGGTAACTAAGTAAGTAGGTAGGTTGGTACGTAGGTTAAAAAGTATGTATTTACATCGGTGGGTAGGTAAATGAATAAAAAAGTGAATAAGTAAGTCTATACGTAGGTAAATAAATAAGTAAGTACATGTGTAACTAAGTGAGCAAGTAAGTGACTAAGTACGTGAGTATAGAAGTGAGTTTGTATTTAAGTAAGCGGGTAAGTAAATAAGCAAATAGGTACGTAGGTGTAGGTGAGTAGGTCCGGAGGCGTCGCCCCGGGAGCGCGCGCGGCCTCCGCCGGAGCAGCCCGAGAGCGCCGTTAGTGGCGTTTAGAGTCTTCCGGAGGCGTCGCCCCGAGAGCGCGTGCGGCGGAGCCGGAGGAGTCGCCCCGGGAGCGCGCGCGGCCTCCGCCGGAGCAGCCCGAGAGAGCCGTTAGTGGCGTTTAGAGCCTTCCGGAGGCGTCGCCCCGGGAGCGCGCGCGGCCTCCGCCGGAGCAGCCCGAGAGGGCCGTTAGTGGCGTTTAGGGTCTTCCGGAGGCGTCGCCCCGAGAGTGCGCGCGGCCTCCGACGGAGCAGCCCGAGAGGGCCTTCCGGAGGCGTCGCCCCGGGAGCGCGCGCGGCCTCCGCCGGAGCAGCCCGAGAGGGCCGTTAGTTGCGTTTAGAGTCTTTTGGAGGCGTCGCCCCGAGAGAGCGCGCGCGGCCTCCGCCGGAGCAGTTTGAGAGGGCTGTTTGTGGCGTTTGGGGTCTTCCGGACGCGTCGCTACGGGAGCGCGCGCGGCCTCCGCCGAAACAGCCCGAGAGGGCAGCTAGTGGCGTTTAGAGTCTTCCGGCGGCGTCGCCCCGAGAGCGCGCGCGGCCTCCGCCGGAGCAGCCCGAGAGGGCCGTTAGTGGCGTTTA